GGATAGCTTTTTTGGAGGAAGGGATGAGTGAAATTCACTGGCATCATAAGGCATTCTTATCTCCTTGTGGCAACAATTCAACTATCCGTCAATAAAACGACTTAAGCGACCTAGAAAGACTAAATTCCTATTCGAGGGTAAACCTAGTTACACAATCCGGTTTTAGAGAGATGGGAAGCCAAACTTGTAGAATAAGTGACGAAAGTAAAGCATTTTTATAAAAGAATGAGTATGTCTTTACTTCTCTACGAATGGTAGAGTTGCCTTGATCGGCGTTGCAACTTCTACTCGGTTTTCAACTTCTTTCTGGGGCATATTAAGAGAGTAAGCAGCAAGAAGACGCTTCTGCTCAGACAAAAGCGCTAAATGGAGCCCAGCTGATGTGTTGGGCCTCACGGAGATCTATAGAAAGAGAACACAAGAAATGGTTGAATAAAAGGGGAAAAATGCAAGCTAACAAATTGAAGAATATTTGTTGTACTTTCACATTGTCTGAATAATTAGGCAGATAAGAAGTGAAAATCTACCAGACAGATGCATGTAGAAATTTAGGCCATTCGGTCAAATTGTATATTTCAAAAGTCCTTGAGGTAAGGAACTGGCATGACGCATGCAGAATACAAAGCCAAACTTGACATTTTTGAACAGATTTTACTGTAATATTACTAGTTATTAGCATGAAAAATAGTTTTTAGCAATTTTGTTCATATTAGGCATTAGAAAATAGTGAATATGACAAATATAAAAGTTGACGCACTCCGTGAATCAGCGCCTGGCAACACTTTTTTGGGAGAAGTGAAGGATTAAAAACATTTCCAATAACTAGCGAATATTCATTCTATTCTTACTTTTGTAATGTTTTCCACTCATTCTGGAACACCTGTTTTCATTTTAACTTTATTTTCTATACCGTATATGGGGAATTCATTTCTGGTATTAGTTGATACCTAATATGATCCATTTATCCTTCCATCCGCACAATAGTTCCTGTGATAGTGGCTGCCACAACCTGAAATCACTACTGATCCACACTGTACTTAGAGTCATGTGATTGTGGCTTAACTGTTCGCTTTTGGTTTTAAGTAGGTTTC